CAGTAGCTACCATAATGTCTCTTTCTATGAAATAGCTGAGCATACCTTCATATACAATAGTATCCAACATAACAAAATAATATGAAACCATTCAAGAGAATGAATGTATTACAGGGCGCTCAGAACCAAATAACAGAAAATGAACAATGGCTACTGTAATCTCATTGTCCATAAAAAATTTGTTTATACTATCATACATAGTAAAATCCAATAAGATACAACATGATAGAACCAATGGAAACAGAAGAACAAAAGCATGGTAGGATTTCAAAGCAAGATGATATTAAATTAGCACTGGCTATTATGTTTTCTTCAAAATAGCTGTTCATACCATCACAGATAATAAAATCAAACAAACCAGGATAAAACCATTCCAATTAATGAATGAAAACATTATAAAGCTTCAAGGCAATGTAATGTGGAATCATGATTACCATAGACTCTTAGTATTCTTACCATTTCTTACACTAGGGAGACTGTACGGTATTTATACGTGTGAGTTTGATTTATTTTGCTTATGAGTCGTCCATTTATTTATAAATATCTCAATGTGATCATTCTTTATAGCTGAGTAGTACTCCATTGTATAAAAATACCACAATTTTTTTATCCATTCCTCAGTTGATGGACACTTAGGTTGTTTCCAAGATCTGGCTATTACAAATTGCACTGCTATAAACATGGGTGCACATATATCACTGTGCTATGATGTTTTTGGTTCTTCTGGGAATATGCCTAGAAGTGGAATAGCTGGGTCAAATGGGACTTCCAATCTCAGGTTTTTGAGGAATCTCCAGACTGACCTCCACAGTGGTTGCACCAGTCTACACTCCCACCAACAGTGTAGGAGAGTTCCTTTATCCCCACAGCCTCTCTAGCATTTGTTGTTGGTAGTTTTCTTGATCCTGGCCATTCTTTCTGGAATGAGATGAAATTTCAGTGTTGTTTTAATTTGCATTTCTCTAATGAGGATGAACATTTTTTCATGTATTTATTGCCATTTGTATTTCTTAATCTGAGAACTGTGTATTCATCTCAGATGCCCATTTTTGGATTGGGTCTTTGAATTTCAGAGTCTGTTTTTTAAAATTCTTTATATGTTTTAGACAGAAGTCCTTTGTCTGAGGGACAGTTCACTAAGATCTTTTCCCAGTTTGTGGTTTTTTTTTTTTCACTATGCTGGAGATTTCTTTTGATGTGCAGAAACTTTTTAATAAAACGTGATCCCAGTTATTGATTCTGGGAAGTATTTCCTGTGTGGTTTGATTCCTGTTCATGAATTCTCTATCTACCCCTATGACTTCAAGATTTTTACCTAATTTGTCTTCCAACAGATTTAGTGTTTCTGCTTTAATATTCAGATCTTTGATTCATTTAGATTTTAGTTTAGTACATGGTGATAAGCATGGGTCTAGTTTTAGTTTTTGGCATATGGAAAACCAGTTTTTACAGCACCATTTATTAAAGAGACTGTCATTTTTCCAGTGCACATGTTTGGCCCCTTTATCAAAGATAACATGGTTGAGTGCATAGGTAGTTGTGGTTGTATCTTCTAATCTATTCCATTGATCTTTAGATCTATTTTTATTCCAGTACCATGTCGATTTTATTACAGTAGTTTGTAGTATAACTTCAAGTCAGGGATTATAATGCGTCCTGCCTTGCCTTTGCTGCTTAGAATTGTCTGTGCTATTCTAGGTCTCTTCTGGTTCCAGATGAATTTTAGAAGTGATTTCTCTAGATCTATGAGGTATGCTGATGGTATTTTCATTGGAATTGCATTGAATCTGTATAACAGTTTTGGGAGAATGGCCATTTTCACAATATTTTATTCTTCCTATCCATGAACAAGGGATGTCTTTCCATTTTCTGAGATCCTCTTCGATTTCTTTTTTCAGAATATTATAATTTTCCCTGTATAGATTTTTTACTTCTTTCATGAGATTAATTCCTAAGTATGTCATTTTTTTTGGATGCTAGTGTGAAGGGTGGCTTCTCTCATTTCTCTCTCAGTGATTTTGTTGTTAGTGTATAGGAATGCTATTGATTTTTGAATATTGATTTTTGTATCCAGCTGCATTGCTGAATTTATTTATTATATGACTTTTGGATGTCTTAAGAAATTTTTGATACGCTATAAGGTTTGGGTTTTTTGCATGTGGATATCCAATTTTCCAGTATATTTACTGAAGGTACAATTCTTTCTCTATTTAATTGCTTTTGCATTTTTGTTAGAAATCAATTGTCTGTTATGTGGGTATTTATTTTGGGAATACATATTGGTACTTTGTCTATCTTTTTTTTTTTTTTTTTTGTACTGGGGATTGAACTCAAGACCTCACACTTTCCAGGTAGGCACTTATGCCACTGAGCTAAATCCTCAGCCTGTTTGTCTATCTTGGTATGAATGCCATTTTGTCATGATTGGTGTAACTTTGTTATAAATCATGGAATTAGAGAGGATTGGAGCTCTAATTTTGTTCCTTTATCAAAGTTGTTTAGACTATTCTGAGTCTTTTGTATTTCTACAGAAATGTAAGAATCAAAATGTTAATCTTTATGAAAAATGTGTTGTTAGCATTTTGATAAAAGATTGTGTCTTTTTTTTTTTTGTCTTTTTCATTTTTATCGGTATCAGGGATCGAACTCACGACCGCCTGCTTGCAAGGCAGGTGCTTATGCCACTGAGCTAAATCCCCAGCCCCAAGATTGTGTTTTCTGATCTTTATTATCTTCTATTCATTTTTTGTTTTATTCTGTCTTTTATTTTTAATTTCTTAAGGAAAGATATGAGGATATTTCATAACTTTCTTCTTTCCTAATAAATGTACTTGGTGTTAAAAAAAATAATAGCCAGGCATGGCTATTACAGGTGCATGCCTGTAATCTCAGCACTTGGGAGGCTGAACCAGGAGGATTGTTGCAAGTTCAAGGCCAGCCTGAACTGTATAGCAAGACTTTGTCTCAAAAAGACAAAAAAATTTTAAAAAATATACACTGATTATAGATAAAAGATTTTATTTTTTCTAAATTCTTTCAAAGAGATTTCCGCTAAATGACCTACAACAAAATCTGACCACTCTATTTATACTTATCAATAGACTGTCTAGTCTTATAGTTAAAATTCTAAAATTGTAAAAAGTTATTACAATTCAATTTAGTAAAAATATATTTGAGTGCACTTTGATCTTGTAAAATGTCTTTGTCCAGTTTGTTAAGCTGTGTATTTGTGTTTGTCATATCCACGAATAGCTGTTTTTTATTTGAGCTCAACAATTTTTTCTTTTTCTTTTGCATTTTTAGATCATTTGTTCAAAATTTAATTTGGTTTATAGATTTTTTTGGTACTGGGGATCAAACTCAAGAAATTGCCAGGCAGGCACTGTGCCACTGAGTTAGATCCCTGGCCCTGGTTTACAGATTTAAAAAACATGCTTCCACCTGGGTTGCCAGCTGGTAAAAATAATATCAAAATGGGTTTTCTCAGAGGTCATCAGAAATTTGTTAAAGTAACTAAGAGGAACTTTCAGGCTTGGAAAAATTATTGTACAGGACTCCAATTGATTAATATGAAAGTAGCTGTCTGGAATAACATTAACCAATTCTTGTTCATTGATGGGAGGCCCCAGTGAGCTCCATAGCCTTAGGGGAGGCACCCCAACAATTGTTATTTAAAATATACTATTGTGATACATTTCTGTTGGTCATCATCAAAAGGATAAAGTTTCCCAGAAAATAAAGTTTTTGATTTAAAGACATTCTGCCACATCAGCTCTCAAGAGGCTGAGGCAGGAAGATTGCTGTGAGTTTGAGGCAAGCCTGGACTACAAAGCAAATTAAGGCCAGCCTGAACTGCATAGCAAAACCCTGTCTCAAAAACAAATTCTCTGGTACAGATGTTTTCATATGGCTATGACAATTGATTGTTATTAACCTCATGGTATATTAAATGTATTCATGTCTCCAGATGTACAGGTCTTCCAAAATGTAAGACAGGGATTGTTTATGTTGATAGACTTCTTTCAGATTCAGACTTCTTCCTTTAACAAAAACTTCTGTGGGGGCTGGGGATTTAGCTCAGTGGCATAAGCACCTGCCTTGCAAGCAGGTGGTAGTGAGTTCGATCCCCAGTACTGATAAAAAGTTAAAAAAAACTTCTATGATGTACATCCCACTAAAGAACAAGAAGTTAGGTAAAAGTTTCTTATGTATTAGATTGACTAAAAGGGTTATTTTATGTCAAAATGGAAATTCCGGTGTGTTACAAAAATATCATCATGACTTTCATGCTACAATATTATATATAGTTTTGATTTCTAATTTTCTGCATAAAATATGTAACTGTTAATATTCTATAGGGATTTAAATACTAGAAGTCCATGGTTGTTAAAAATAATGGTCCTATTTTATGTTCTGAAGTGCTTGATATTTAGATAAGATAGTGATGTTAAGCTTACTGCCTTCCTTACAATGTCATTAATCTCTTCTGGATGTTCAACACCTGAGGTTTTGAGTGCAAAAAATAGAAAGACAGAGGGGCAAGGACAGCCAATATTTTGGCCCCAGACCTTTGAGGTCAGTGAGGACCCAGGATATAAGGGAACCTCTACTGTGATATCCTCACTTGGTACATCCCTGGTCTTTTGACCAAGGAGATTGTGGGACCACAGAAGGATATGTAGTATCCCTAAGGAGAGTCACTAGGAAAGAAACATTTCCCAACCTTTCACAGAAAGCAACTTGGTCAAGCAATGGCCATGACTCATCCAGACAGCTGACACTGACAAAAACTAAGAGGTGCTAGACGTGGTTGCAAGGTAAATCCTGAGGAGACTTAACTGACCTTGATAGGTGTTATGGTTTGAAAACTGGTGGTCAACTTAACGCCAGCTGGATTACATCAGCATGGCATTGAGAGAAGATGCTCCACCTGAGGAGGGTTGCCAGGATCAATAGGTGGAGAAGAAGGGAGGTGTTGGGAGGGATTGAGGGGTGAAGGAGATTGTGGGTTCTCCTACCAGTTGCTGTCTGAGCTGTTGGTTCTGGAGAAGCTTTGGTCTTCACATTGCGCATTGCTTCCTGGCTCCGGAGGGGAAGACATGTGCTGCCTGGTCTCCAAGATGAACTTGTCATGCTGCTTCCTGGCACGTACCCGATTGTGCTTGGGGTCGGAGGGGCTCGGGGCCTCCGTGTCACTGAGGACAGCTGCGGTGCCTTTCAGGACAGCCCCGCTCTTTGTTGTGAGTATGACTTTTCGGCTCCTTGTAGGAACCCCCCCCCCATCCCACTAGCACAGCTCCTGCATCCTGCTGGCATAGACTTTCTGGCTTCCACCGCTGACCCTTGGGTCTTCCCGGCACGGATCCGTAAAAGAGACTGGCGAGTCCTTCTTGTGGGCTCTGGACCTCCAGTTGGACTCGTGGGAGGCATTGTCCTGAGCTCTGGGTTTTTATCTGGACTCATGTGGCACATGTGCTGTGGGGTTTAGGCTCTTGACTAAATAATCTATGTCTTTGGTGTTGCAGATAGATTTCCTGCATTTTCTTGTGTTAACTTCCGGTGACCATTATAAAAATATTATGAAATCCATGTTCTAATCCTAGTTGTTCTCTGTGTACAACCCCTGACTACAACAATAGGTAACAAAAATTTTACTTTAATTAATACGGCTCTAATTTTACTTGGTCTTGAATATCCAGCAAAAAAGTGTAACAATAAAAAAGAATCATCTGCAGAGTCCTCCAAACATAGCTCCTCTAACCAACTGACTACTCATTGCTTACAACTACAAAACAGAAAAGAGGAAGATGTAGAAAGTGACTGAAGCCAGAAATTGATCACATGTTGGGGGCAAGGAACCTGTCTGAGAACAAAGAGCACCTCAGGCAAGCCACCTTAACAAGTTACTTCCATCCAGAGGACACTAAGCCCTAGACAATCCAAACAATGGGCTGCTAGGCAAAAGGGGTGTTACCTGACACCAACCTGCCAAATGTATAAATAAATGCACTATGGTGGTTGAGCAGTCCCTTTCCTCCCACCTGGAGAGAAGGCTCCACCTGATCCCAGCTTTCTGTGTCTTTATTTCTTCACCTTCTTGCTGCCCTCCACAGGCAGCAGAAGTTCAAAAGTCATGCAGGTCAAGGCAGATACTGGATGAAGAAGCAGTCCTGGAATGCTGTAAGCCAAGCTTGATGGGAGATTCTGATCAGAGTTCATAAGACCAGAATGCTGATAGAAATGCAGCTAGCAAAGATCTGGTTGAGGAAGTTTTAGTTAGAAACAAAGACTTTGTTGGCTGCTAGACTCCAAACCATGTGTGTCATGCTTTGGTAGAAAATTTGTCTGCATTTTGCTCCTGTCCAGAGACTTCACTTGAGATTGAGATTAAAGGTGGCAGACTAATTAATTTTGTGGAAGATATTTCAAGACAGTCTAATGTTGAGGTGGTAACATAACATCTAACTTTTAGTTAGATGATGTTGAGAATCAAGGGCAAAGACCCAGCACAATAACTTTAAAAGTTTTGAGCTTGACCAGAAAGAAAGTTACAATAAAGTTGTGGCCTGCAAAGATGGAACAGGAATCTTGATTGCTGAAAAGAGTAGCAATAAAAATTCGAGTATTTTGGAAGAGGACAACAGAAAACATGGCCTAAGGGCATCAAAAGAACCAACTCTACTCTTTGCAGCCTCAAAAGTGCAAAGGTGAAAGACTTTGCTAAACTGGGCATGGTAGTATATTCCTGTAATCCCAGTACTTGAGACGCTTGTCTCAAAAAAAAAAAAAAAGCATTTTGCTAAGAAAAGAGAGCCCCAGAATACCAAGTTTCAGAGTAGTGGCTGTCTAGGGAATTTGCTCTTCCAGATGGGGTTCATAGTGCCCAGCAATTCAGGCACTGAACCCCCGCAGCAAAGGAAAAAAAAACCCTGGCTACTGCTCTGGCTGGAGGTAGAGCTTGGTGCCATCCACATGGTGCTGGTTTTATGTGCATGGAAATTCAAGGGTTGTTGGGGTGGGGGATAAAAAAAGGCTTCCATTCCGATTTTAGAAGGCATAGGAGGCCAGGGAATGTGTCCCTCACAGGGAAGTGTGGATGTGATGCTAAAGATGCAATAAAGATCCTAAAAGTTTGGGGAAGCTAGGGACATGGGTCATCTGAGGAAAGCTGCAAGGAGTGAGCAAAGTCATCCATGAGTGCTAAAACTACATACAAAGCCATAAGGGTGAAGCCACCCAAACCCTTTGGCATTAACAGATTGCCATTGATGCTGAACATGGAAATACGGGCCTTAAGGTTTGCCTTGCTGGATTTTGAACTTTCTTTGGTCTCATTCTTTTCTATCTATTCTATTCTATTTTTGAATAGTAATGTTTATCTTGTGCCACTGGAAGTGTTTAACTTTCTTTTCATCTGTAAAGGGGCTCACAGCTGAGGTTTTGCCTTAAATTTCAGGAGATTTTAGAGTTAGATTTTTCAGCCATGGTGAAACTGTTAGGATTTTGGCAACTTTTAGATTTGGATTAAAAACCTTTTGCATAAAGATATGTCTTTGGGAGATGAGGGACAGAATATTATGGCTTATATCTGGATATTCCCCTCACGCCTCATGGCCTTTCAGAGGTGGCTGAATTTAGGATGTATAAATGTGGATTAAATGTATGTGATACTAGGGCTAAGAGTGTGTGGCACTTCATTAGTCTGCTAATCAATTTAGCAAATAGTTCTATGTGTCAATGATGGGAACTCCCATGCTGGGTGTGGGTGGCACCAATCATTAGGTTTGTGGCCTGGAGTAAAAGGGAAACATGAAAGGCAGGCTGTTTGCTGCCTCCTGCCTGTCCTACATGGACTGTTTCCCTCTGTAATACACTTCTGCCACACCACTCTGCCTTGGGGTCAGAGGAGTATGTACTGAAACTTCTATAAACTGTGAGCTGAAATCAACCATTTCTCCTCTAACTTTGGATGTTGAACATTTTGTCCCAGCAACAAGAAAATAACTAAGACATATCCATTTTCCTCTGCCTTCAGAAGACTGGCCATTCTGCTTTTGCTTCCATTATTTTTCCTAGCTTTTTAAAAGGCCATTTGTGAGGCAAGTGTGGTAGTGCATGCTTATAATGTTAACACTCTGGGAGGTTGAGACAGGATTTCAAGTTGAAGGCCAACCTGGACAAAGTAGTTCAAGACTCCATACATAAGGTTTTTACTTTGGTCAGCCACAAGCAGAATGGCCCACAGAGGCCTTACCCTGATTCTAGCCCTTAAACTGGGCTCACAGTGTCTGCAGATAGGGGGTACCAAGTTAACCCAACAAAACATCCTCAGAAAGGGCAGATCTTGTTGAAGGCACAGCACAATTGCAAGTCTAGAATAGTCTACCTGGGGATCTGCTCCAGCCTTACCAGAGGTTGCCTTCACCCCACTCCACAGCTATATTAGCCTACTACCTGAGCCTTCTACCACCAGCAAGTCTTCAGAAACTTGGCTGGTGCTTTACATGAGGTAAACGTCCCACCCAGGCTATGTTAGCAAGTCATAACTCCAGGACTTGCTAACATAAAAGTTAGGTCTTACTGTGCTGTACCCTCCCCCAAGACTGGTAATGAGCTGTACTGCCAAATCTCCTGTGATGCCCTGCTCTCTGTGAAGGACTACAGCAGTAACAAACTGTATCAAAGAACTTTCCTGGAGCAAGTGTGAGAGTAGATGGACAATGGCTACCTGCCCATCCCCAGCAAGATGGGGTTTGGGGTCTTCTCTAAAGTCTACCTGGCATAGATATACCACTCAGGAAATGTGCACACAGCACATTCCTGAGCTCTCCTCTTACAGGGAAAACACTATTAGAGGTGATATAGGCCCACTTCTCTCATAGAGAGCTCCTTGGAATAACCTACCAGGCCAGTATCCTAAACCCACTTACATACCTTCCAGCTGCCCTTTCACAGAGCCTCGCTGGGCCTGGGGGTATTGCTTCTCCTAGCTTCCTCAAACCCTTCCAGGTTGGTCACTCTCCACTCTCAAGTCTCTTAAAAGATGTAAGTGCCTAGGATAAGGAGTGGTCATCACTGCCCTCCAGGGACACCACTTTCCACCAAGCCATACCCTAGGAAGTTAACACTGTGTATAAAAGATAGTGGGCCATCTTGCCACAACACATCCAAAAAGGTATTATGGCTTGCTCACTGTGACCACCCTCTTTCCAACAGATGGCCATCAAAATTGTCTCCATGACTGAGGCTCCCATGAAGTTCTCCCAAATATTCTGCCCTGGAAGATCTCAGTACTCAGAGATACCTACAAGCACATGAACCTGGTAGGTGATCTAGCCTGTGCTATCCTCATCCCCAAGACCAGCCCTCACACCTGCTACCCACCACTGGTCTTCTCCTAGGTCTTCCCTGTGGCCTAAAGTATACTCCAGTGCCAAGATCCAGATTCTGGATATTTACCAGCATATCACCGGTCCAGCCCTCCCTCTGGGGAGTACCAGGTTCAGCTGTGTAACACCTATCAGAACAGCCTGCTGCTGGAGCTGGGGGATTTTTCTGCCATATGAAACTCCTAGGACTCTGGCAACTTTTAGAGGTGGACTAAAGGCTTTTGCATAGAGGGGCAACCTGCTGGATGGAGCACATCAACAATGTTAGGTCATTGCTGCTGCGGGAAAGGAAGGCTTGAAGGCTGTTCACACAACTGGTCAGCCTGAGGGCCTATTGCCACCATGCTGGCATTGTGCAATGATAAGGGTACCCTTGGCCTGCCCATCTGGAGACTCACTTGAATCTAGCCCCCACCTCCCCTTCCCCAGCAGGTATCTAAATCGTGAGAACACTCTGCTGGATGACCAGGGATTCCAAGAGCTGAGCTGAGGACCCACCCACCCTCTGCTCCAAGTTTCCATCCTGTCCTTCGGTTTCTGTGAATAGGATGACCTCTCCAAATAGTGGCATCATTGGTGATAGTGGGAATGGGCCATGAATGTGGGTGGTTGATGGGGGTAGAGGCAGGCTGCAGCCATGGGCCTTGCCAGCAGAGTGCCAGGACCTACTTAGGGGCTGCTCCTGCTGACCCCATCTGGGCCTGCACAATGCTGGCTGCTGCCTGTGGCACAGTCTTTTGTTCTGGACTTGGTGCTTTGCTGGGTATGGCCTATGGGTAACAAGTTGGCAGATGGTGGTCCCTTCACTTGACTTCCATTGGTCCAATGCAGTGCAGCTGAGGTCCAGGGATGAGAAAGAGCCCAGTGTGGGCTTCAGGTTTGAGATGCATCTGTGGTACCCAAAGTGGCAGTGACCTCCCAAGAAGAGAACCTTGTGGCTCAGCGCTTGTGTTCTTGGAGGCCAGCCCCATTCAAGGCATGGGTTTCCATAAGTCCAGAGGTCTGGGGCCCTAAGTTGGGCAGTCCCACAAAGCACAAAACACCTCCAGGCAGCGACTGCCTTGCCTTTGTGCTCCATAGTGGCTTTCAGGAAAGTTGAGCATAGGTGGAGTAAGCAGGTAAAAGGTTTATTCTGTGAACTTGTGAGGAGGAGCTATCTTCCTGTAGAGAAGGTAGATGGTCTTCCGGTGATTCCCTAGGCTGAGGCTCTGCCACTACCTCCTGGGATTCTGGGACAGAGAAAATACCAGTCCACACATCATGCCTGCCCACAGCACCAGAACTTTAATGGGGCAGGTCATAAGGCTCCATAGGGGAAAGCAACACCTGCCATTCAGTGAAGCACTGTCAGTTGCCATAGCAGGTGATCACAAATTCACAGTGACTGCTTTTGTGTACTTCCCCCTGGGATGAAAGGAAAGATTGGGATTTCCCACTGACTCTTCCAAGCCTATGCCTTAAGTTATTTGAGGATTAAACTCAAGGACAAGATACTTCTAAGCATAAGATCATCTACACTTTCTTAAATCATCACAGGATTATACTTGGGCCAAGATTTGCCAAACATAAGAGTACCTACACCCTGTGGAGACTTTGAGTTGTAATCCTTTTGGCTAGCCATTGTTGGAATACGATACTTGTCTTGTTTTTTTATTTTCCTCACAGCATTCTAGAGACGGATAATCAAAATTCTTGGCCAGGTTCCCAATACTGACTATAGAAATTCTTGACCGGGGTCCTGATATTGACAATCGGGACTCTTGGCTGGGTTCCCAATAGCCATGACAGAACTTAAGGTGGGGCAGTCCTCCAAATTTAAAGGTGTGGAGTGGGGTACTGTAAACACTCAGCAAAACAATCTGAGCTCTTCATTTGGATCACAAGGATCTGATAGGGCCTGTTGGAAGGAGAGGGGACCACACTCAAGAGCCCCATGGACAGAGGGCAGTGAGGTCTAATGAGAGGCTCAGGAAAGGAACACATTGAGCTACTATGATAATTGAACAATTGGTGGAGGGACACACCTCAGGTCCAGAAGAAAAGCAGAAAAGGCTGCTCCCAGCCCCACAATGGGCTCTGGAGGGCTAGATAATGGTTGGGGGAGAGGCTTAGACATGAACAAGGATGCAGGTACATCTAGAGGTTTTCTGCAGGAGGCCCTAGGAGCAGGAGGGTCTGGAGGTCTTTCAGTGAAGCTGAGGCTCAGAGAAACTGGCCAGAAAACAGATCTAACTTGAGGGCTGGGTGAGAGAGCCAAGTTTAAGATGGAGGATAATCACAAAGGGGAAGTAGAACCTAGGAAGCAACGACAAGTTGGAGGGTATGGTTAGAGGACCCCAAAGGATGGGACTGATAGATGTGACTGTTGCACCTCTGAACTGGTCCATGTCCAACTTTGGAAGTTCTAGCTGGCTTCTCAGAGACTGCAATGTTTTCTGTCCAGTCCCACTATAGTGCCTAGGAACAAGCTCTTGGTGGCTGCACTGGCCATTCATCTGCTTCATGTCGAGGAACTGTGGTACAAAATCTGGCCAGCTCTGGCTCAGCTATGCAACAATCTTCATTTTTATGCATCACGACAGGGCATGAGGTTGAGAACACCCTCAAACCTCCAGTGTTTACTGCGCATTCATCCTAGAACTCTTAGCACAGACTGGAGCTTAAGTGTACCTCTGCTTCTTACCAAGGCACAACCTCTGATCAAGGGGATTAGAGTGACAGGGAACAGGCTGAGGATAGGAAACCTGGCAGAGGCGGCTCTGGAACTGGCATCAGGCAGCCAGGGGCCTCAGCGAAGTGTAGGCCCCTCCCCCCCTGACTCTCCAGCCAACTCCAGTTGCTGCTGTTTCAACTGCTCCTGCTCCTGGCGATCTAACTGCTGTAGCTGCCGCTCCACATCTTCAGGCACTTGTACCTCCAGCAGGTTTTCCATGCCACACTCTGGTTCATCCCCAATAAGCACCTACCAACAGAGCAAGCAGGTAAATAAGTGGCCAGCTAAGACCCCCTCTTCCCTAGCCTCTCTAACCCTCCAGCCTCTCTTTCCCACCTGGATGAGTTTCTCACAGGCCATCTGCACATCAGGCTCTGATTCCCAAGTGTGCAGCTCTCGAAGGATCAGGTATGCTCCTTGGTCCCGCACCTGCTGCCGACCAGGTGCCGTAGCTGTCAGCTGAGGAGATGGTAGAGGTTACTCAGATATTAGTGTGTGTGTGCTGGGGACCAGCATTAATATACCAGGTCTGCCACTCACCAGCATGATAGCTTCAATGAGCATCTTTCGGATGTCAGCATCTGGCTCTCGCTGCTTGTCTGGTGGCAGGTATTGCAGATCAACAGGAAGCCCTTGGGAATGAGAGTGGCAGCCATTTGGTGCCTAGGCTGAGAACTTGGTTGGTCCAGGCTGTGCCTGTGTAAGCCTCACCTGTATTCAGTGACTCCCTCTGGGACATTTCCTTCTCTTCCTCCCTTTGCTCCCACCTCACCAATCCTAAGACTCCCACCTAGGGCACTCACGGTCCATCTCTTCCTCTGAGAACTCCTCAGGGCCGGCCAGGGGCAGTAATAAAAAGGGAAGAATGTCAACGTCGGGCCCCAGCAACCACTCGTGATGCCCTGGGAGAGAGGACAAAGATGGGGTCCATTTTGGGCCTCTGGTGCTGCAAAGTCCAATCCTTATCCCACCAACGCCCATGTTCTCACCCACCACTCACGGTGCTCGAAGCAGCAATTTCGCAAGGTACCTACTATCCCGCCCCTGCGCAGCGAGGAGTCTGAATATTGGGTAAGGGGCAGCAGCCGCTGGATCACACACCTGTTGGGAAGGACTACTTATTGCAGTCTGACCTCTTCCTTGGCCCCTCCCCAACAGCGTGGACCTAGCTCACCGATCTGGGTCCAGCAAGAAGGCTCGCGCCGCAGGCTGCTGGCTGAGGTTAGATAGTAGAGGCCCCAGGTGATGCAGGGGCGCGCACGCGTTGTAGCCAGGCGTGCACAGTGCACATAACAGTCTCTCCAAACCCAATCCTGACTTCGCCGCCGCCTCCAGTGTCCCCATAAGCGCAGCGCAAGGCGCTGGCTCGCGGCTGAGGTTGGCCAGAGCAGCTGCCGCCTCGTCTGCCCAGGGCCACTGAGGGTCTAGCGCGCGGCCCAGCAGACGGGTAGGTAACACGGGGTCGGCCGCCAACAGCTGCTCATGCACGCTAGGGTCTGCAGCCAAGTTCACCAGCGCACGCGCGGCATCGCGGGCCGGGGCCGAGCCGGCAGCCGCCGCCAAAACAGCTAGTGCCTTCAGCAGCTCCGCCTGCCTGGCCAAGAGGGCGCGGCCGGGCCCGGAGCCGGTTAGCGCCAACACATGCTGTGCCGCCGCCGCCTGCAGGTCCGCGCGCGCACCCTGAGTCAGGAAGGGCAGCAGCTCCGCCGCTTCCGCGTCGAAGGTAGCCTCCGGTCCCGCCGGGGCACTGGGCCTCGCAGGGATCTCAGACTCTAGAGTCTCTACCCGCCCGGTGGCCATGGTGTCAAGGGCCCATCGTCCCGCCCGCCAGAGGAACGGAAGCCGCCGCGGCCAATCCAAGGCTGCCGACCCGCGCAGGGGCGGGGCGGGGGCGGTCCAGGAAGGCCGGACCGCGGCAGGCGCAGGGCCTTGTGGGTGCGGAGGGTGATGGTTGGGTCTCTGGGTTTTCTTTCTCCACCGAGCAATCCACCGGTGTGGCTCCGTGGAGCGGCGCTGGCTGTGCGGATCCTCTTGAAATTTGGTCCCTGACCTCCAGAAACCTTATGGGTCTCAAAACTGGTGCGCAAGAAGAAGGCTGTGGGAGGCTCGGGAACATGTGGCCGTGAGTTAGCCCGGAAAGAAGGCACGCCGTGGAACCCCCGGGAGCCCAGAGCCTGGAGCAGATAGAAACCGGGACAGCTCAAGGCCGGGGATGAAGCCATAGGAAGCAGCTTTGGATAAGCCTCTCCGCATTGCGCACCGGGGTTGGGACATTTGTCAGGATTTATTAGGTCACAAGGGATAAGTTGGAACAGAAAGAGAACTGGTCCACGTATCTGTATAATTTGAAGGTTTGAAGGACACCGGCTGTAGGTGCTACTGCTTCATGGTTTCCATTATTTTTACCTACCCCAGCACAGGTAGGAAAGATCTAGCAGAAGACAGTTTGTTCAAGTATCAGAGTCTGCCCTAGGGAACAACTCCAGTCAGTGCCTCACTTGCCCTACATTGATCTAGCCACTGGGAGGAACAATTTTACAGGACTACATAGAAGGGAGGGCAGAGGAAAACCCCCACTCACCGTGGTGATGAGGGTAACTGCATTGTGCTGGTTACCCAGGACACAGAAGACTAAGGTCTTTCTGACCTTGGAGTCCTCCTCTCTAGTACTGGAGGACAGAACCCCAGGCCTGGCAAACTGTACCACTAAGCTTTACCTCCTGCCCTGGCCTCAGTAGCATGGAATGCCCTTTGTCCAGCCATGCACAAGACTGGCCACTTCTTACTATGAGAACTAACTTCATGGGGCAGCCTGCCTCGAAATTCAGCTCCCTGGTCCCTACAGGTTGCTTAAGTCCTATCTGCATCTTTTGAGATAACAGTACCTGGAGGAAGGTGATGTGATTTATGTTCCAGACATCTTCCTTTGCTTTACTTCTGAGGATACCCTGATAGCAATCCTAAAGTGTTCATAAGGCTAATTGTTTTTCAAAGTTTGCAAAAGTAGGATGTAGCTGACATAACTCATGCCAAACTCAGGATGGCCATAATCAAACAGAAGGTGAAGCAACTATTGATGAGGATAAAGTGGAACCCCATATGCTGAATCCCATTTTACAGAAGAACTGTAAGCTAGGGCCGGGGATTTACTGAGTGAAATAAGCACCTGCCTGGCAAGTGTGAGGTTGTGAGTTTGGTCACCAGTACTGCCACCCCCCCAAAAAAGTTAAGCAATTCTACTTCTGGGTACATGCCTAAGAGACATGAAAACTAAGCACATGTGTGCATATCCAAAGATGAATGAGTCTAAGTAGTAGTATTCACAATAGCCAAAAGGTACAAACAACCCACGTGTCCATCAACTGATGAGTGGATGAACTATGTAATATATATCTTTTAATGTGAGGACTTAGCGGAAAAAAAAAAATATATATATATATAGTACTGATATGCTACAACTGGTTGACCCTTCCAAACATACTAAGTGAAGGAAGCAAGTCACAAAAAGCATACATTATATAGTTCTATTTATAAGATATTTCCAGAATACACACATCTGTAGAGGCCAAAAGTAAATTAGTTGTCAAGGGCCAGGGAGAGGTAGAATAGAGAGAGAAACTTAATGGGTGCTATGAACTGAGTTATGTCCCTCACCTAAATTCATATGTTGGGGCCTGGACCCCCAATATGACTATTTAATGATAGGACCTATAAAGGAAAAATATCAAGGTTGAGCGGGACCATGTAGTAGAACCTTGATACTATAGAATTAGTGTTCTTTTGTGTGTATGTACCAGGAATCAAGCTCAGGACCTTGTGCTTGCCAAGCAGGCACTTATGCCGCTGAGCTATATTCCCAACCCAGAATTAGTGTCCTTTTAAGAAGAACTAACAATGAGTATGGTAGCACTTATCTGTAATTCCAGCAGTCTGTGAGGTTGATGCAGGAACACTGCAAATTTGAATCTCACTTGGGCAACGTAAGATGACCCTGTGTCCAATTTTAAAAAAGGGTAGGAATATAGCTCAGGGTGAAGGCCCTGAGTTCAATCACTAATAATGGTATGTGGTGACTCACATGTATAATCCTAGCACTCAGGAGGCTGAGACAAGAGGATCACTGAGTTCAAGGCCAGTCTGGGCTACATAGTGAGACCCTGTCTCAAAAAAAAAAAAAAAAAAAAAATCAATCATTAGTAACACAGAGAAGCAGGGGGAGGGAGAGGAGAAAGAAGAGGAAGAGAAGGAGGATCTGACTCTGCCTTCCATGTGAGGATACAGTGAGACAATGACCATTTGCAAGCCAGGAAAAACAAACTCACCAGAGATCAAATCAGCCAGTACTCAGATGCAAGATTTTCCAGCTTCCACAACTGTGAAAAAGTAAGCTATCTACTCAGTCTATATTTTAGTAAAGCAGCCTGATCAGACTTAAGAATATGAGTACAGGTTTTTTTCCATTTTGAAAATGTTCTCAAATTACATTATGGTGTTAGTTGCTTGACTATGAATACACTAAAAACTACCTTTTTTTGTTTTTGTTTTGTTTTGGTACCAGGGATCAAACTCATGACCTTGCGCTTGTTAGGCAGGCACTTACACCACTGAACTAAATCCCTGGCCCAGTTTTTTGTTTTTTAGATAGAGTCTCACTATGTAGTCCAGTCTGACCTTGAACTACTATGTAGCCCAAACAGGTGGTGATCTTCTTGCTTCAGCCTTCCAAGTACTAGAATTACAGGTGTGTGCCACTGTAGCCAGCCAAAACTGCACACTTTAAATGAATGAGTTGTACTTAAGTGAAATCTTAAAGGTGATTAAAAAACACGGGGCTGGGGATTTAGCTCAGCGGCATAAGCGCCTGCCTTGTAAGCAGGCAGTCATGAGTTCCATCCCTGGTACTGATAAAAAGGAAAAAGACAAAAAAACAAAAACAAAAACAAAAAAACCCCAAGCCACCTAATTAAAATGTGCCCCAGAAGTTTCATGTGTTTAGAGATAGGAAGTACAGAAGGTGACCGGATCATGGGGGCCCTATACTCATCAGTGGGTTAAATCTATCAATGGATTCATAACTGACAGTGGTGTTAGGAGGTATGATCTTGTGAGAAGAGGTGGGTCACTGGGCACATGACTTGGAATGGTATCTTCTTGTCCACAGCGCCTCTCCTGTCTCCCGCCTCCTGGCTGCCATTGGTTGAGCAGCTTCGACTGGGCTCTTCCACAATAGTGTTTCTGCCTTGGGGGCAGACAACTATGAACTGAACTCTCTGAAATTACAAGCCAAATAAACCTCTTTTTTAAATTGCAGATACTGGGTATTTTGTCCCAGTGGTAGGATAATGACTAATATAGGAAACTGGTACCAGAGAAATGGGATTGCTGTTGTGACTATACCTGACCATGTGTTTTGGCACTAGTTTGCAGGAAAAATTTGGATAGTACTATTTCCTATCTTGCTCTTTTTTTTTTTTTTTTTTTTTTTTTTTTTTTTTTTTGTGGTACTGGGGATTAAACTCAGGGCCTTCACACTGAGGTACATCTCCAGGCGTTTTTTTTCTTTTATTTTGAGGCAGGGTCTTGCTTAGTCCTTAAGTTGCCCAGACTAGGTTTGAACTTGGGATTCTCCTGTTTCAGCCTCTCAGCATGCTAGGATTACAGGTGTGTCCCATCATGCCTGGAGCTCACTTGCTCACTCTCTTTCTCAACTTATGTAAGGGAAGTTTTGCTGAGCACATGCTCATCATGAACTATGTCTTTTTATGTCAGAGATCTGTGAGATCTTGTGAGATCTATATCTTAATTACGTTCTTTTGCTGGGAGAAGTTTATTTTGGTTCATAGTTTGTAGAGGTTTCAGTCCATACTTGAATGCCTCCAATGGAGGGTGGCATGGCAGAGGAGGCGTGCTCAGGCCTCTCTCTTTACTATTCTTTACTCAGTAAAGAAAGGTGAAAGAGAATGAGGAAAAGGGGAGATGAAGGAAAGGGAAGAGAGCAGATAGAAGGAAGAAGACAGAGGGGAGGGGAGAGGAGAGGAATATCAAGGGAAAAGCAAAGGTGATATACCCTCCCAGGCCACATTCCCAGAGACCTACCTCCTTGATCCTGGCTTCAAATTTCAAATCACGGTTAGCTATGAACTCATCAGTGGATGAATATCATACTGTCTTGATGCAGTCTCCTCCCAAAGCCTTACCTGATGAGCCCATGAGGCTTTGGGGCACATCTGAATATAAACCATATGACTACCGTTGTGGTTTTGTTCTCTTGTATGAATATACCATGATGCAGACCTCTTCAGAGATGCTGGACAGTAAGATTGTTTCTGGCTTTGCTACCATAAAAAATCCTGCTAGAACATTTTGAGTATCTTTTGTTTTATTTTGTTGTTGAGACAGGGCTTTATTATATATCTAGGCTACCCTTGAACTTACTGTTTTGCTCAGGCTGGCCTCAAACTCATGGCAGTTAGGCTAGGATTACAGGCATGGACCACCACACTTGGCTAATTTCCTTTTTGCTTATGTTTTGTTTTGGTTTTGATTGAGCATCTTCAAATGTACACGTATAAGTGTTCCCTGGGACCAGGGTCATGTATATGTCTACTTGCACTTGGTTATACCAGACAGATTTCCAATTCATATCCTGCAAAAATGTGTGTGTGTGTGTGTGTGTGTGTGTGTGTGTGTTCCTCGAGATTAAACCCAGGGCCTTTACCCTGCATTACACCCAAAACCCTTTTATTTTTTATTTTGAGATGGAGTCTCACTAAATTGCTAAGTTACACAGACCAGGCTTGAACCCGGAATCTTCCTGCCTCAGTTCTCTTACTGTCTCTTCATA